GACTGGAGGACGCGCATGTTGGAGAGAACGTGGACACTCCTATAGGTTAATTTGTTCTTATAGGAAACTTCCGCCGCCGGCTTGCCCGGGAACTGCTTGTAACTTAGTACACCACCTGTTCTCTCCCACACTGACTCCTCCTCTCAAACGGACAGTCACCAGCCCCACATCTGGAAATGTTCATCTAACTTAAGTTGCCTGCTGCGTCAGTACAAAATCCATTATAAGACTATATGCCAGGGATGTTTCTACGAAGTCTGCACACTAAAACTCACACGCTCGCGAATGCGGGACTTCTCCCTTCACAATCCCTTCAGCATCATCTTGTGGCTCCAGGGCTCCAGACCGACGGAAGCGCGTCGGAGCATCCACACAACCCTTTCGGGGTCAAGCGATGTAACAGTAGCTTTGATACCGATACAATCCGATACACATGTGAGAAGGGAACACGTTGCCGATCAGTGCATGTTTTGCTAACTATGCTGACGAATCGCAATGTTCAGTGTGCAAGACCACAGGTAGTGTGCAGCCACACTCTGGCCTTTGGTGTAATAAAGTTTTGCATTCTGGCTTCTGTCTCCTTGTATTAATGGCGGTAAAGGATTTCCCGCCTCTTGTTGCAGCAAGGTCATGTAGCTGCCCTTCAAACAAAGGCGTGTCCTCCACCTGGCATTTGCAGTCGACTGTGGACTATCTGGACCTGTCTCTTTTCGGGTTCAGCACCTCAATCATGTTCCCAAGAGCACTGCAAGCTTCCATGCACGGCGTTTTGGATGAATTCAACTGAAGCCGTCTGGTGAGACAAAATCACGAGCTGTGGATGCTCGGGCGTGTCACGCAAGTGTCTCAGGAGGACAGCATTTACCCCTTTCCAACAAAGCGTCAACAGGCTCTTGCAAGTGCTTGACAAAAAAGGCATTTGACTTGAGCGCTGTTGAGCTGGATCGCTCTTGTGGATCCTCAGAGAGCAACATCTTCAAAAGCGGCATGACAAGGGAGTCTGGCCTTGCCCACAGCAAAGTCATGTCCTTTTGAGCGTCATTGAGCTTTTTCTTCAGTTGCCCATGAGTCTTTGGAGGAAGCCGATTCTTCTGTGCTGGATTCCGTAGAGATGTCTCACCACCACTTACTAGCATGTACAGCATGACACCATATGAGTACAAATCCACTGCGTATGTGTACCTCCCTTTACTCATCATGATCTCAGGAGCAGCATAGCCATAAGACCCACACATGGTATTGGCGTCACTTGCTGTGTACAACTTCTTCGCGAGGCCAAAGTCCGTGACTTTCGCTCGATAGTTGGAGTCGATGACCACATTCTCAAGTTTGAGATCTCGGAAAATGACCCTGATACCATGTAAATGTTCAAGCGCAAGCAAGACTTCTCCGGCAAAGCGAGCTGCATCCGCAAGCAGGAGTCCAGGAGTTCCATGCTTCACCAAACATGCCTGGAGGTCACCATTTGGACAATACTCCATCACGAGTGCCCAAAAGTAGGAGCATTGAAAAGCAAAGTGCAACTGAACTACAAAAGGATGCCTTGTTGTTCTCAAAATGAATTGTTCGCTATGAGCTTTGCTGGTGATCTTCTGGGCTTTGAACTTGGCTTTCTCCATAGTCTTCATGGCGTAAAGCTCTCCTGTGGCTTTGTGGCGCACCAGAACAACCTTGCCGAACGCACCCGCACCGAGCAATCGCATTTCTGCAAAGTCCTCAATGTTGGAGCTGGCTGCGTCTGAGTCGTTGAAATACTTCTCGGCATCTTCTGCAATGGAACCCAAGAAAAACTTGCTGACAGCCCCCAAACCAGCACTGAGCATGAACGAGGACAAGCCACAGTTTGTAACTGCTAGCGGAGGCTCTGCAGACTCAGAAGCCATGCCTGTGCCCTGCGAAGCCCTTACAAAGTTTTGTTCTGCTTCACGAGTGACCGACAAAAGGGGCACTGAGTGTTTGCAGCCATCTGGACTTTGCGCATTGGCTTCAATGGGCTGGTTCATGCCTGCCCTCTGTTGTCGCAAATTTGACATTTCCGTGGCTTCCTCCAACGGTGGAGTCACCCGACGAGCTCTACTCTCAGCTGGTGCTGCTGTGGATGTGCTGGAGGCTGAAGTCATAGCCGAAGTTACAGATGGTCGACTGAAGTCAACTCTATGATTTGATGATGCTTCTGCTTCTGCAGCGCGTAGCATGTCTGCTATGGCACATTCAGCACTGTCACGCTGGAAACTGAACTTCTCTGAAGGCGCACATTCGGCAGGACTCAAACCTTGCTTGTTCAAGACCCTGATGTCGATGGTAGGATGAGAAAGCAACTCCCGAAGCACTTCCACATTCTGACACCTGGCCGCAATGTGGAGTGGTGTGTCACCATCTGCATTTGTAGCATTTAAGATTCCAGGGTCACCATGGCCAGCACGACAAAGAAACTTTGCAGCATCAGGCACCTTGTTCATGGCTGCCAAGTGCAGGGCCATGTTTTGCTGCTTGTTTCCCGTACGTGCCTGCAGGGTAGAAAAGAATTGGACACTGAGACCCATGCTTTAGAACCCCAAATCAACTTTGTTTCAAGGCGGATGATGCGACAGACCATGAAAGAAAGTCAAGTCCCTTTCGGGAAAAGAGGATGACTAAATAATACCAGCTTTGGAGACCATATGTTGTGACATGTCATTGTTTTATTACGTCAATATTATAAATGCGGGGTATGCCCATGAAGAATGGGTAGAGGTGAGAACAATGGAAATGACATAAATACGCTATGTCTGCAAGGAAGTTTCTCCCACCAAAGGGCGGGAGAAGATGGTGAATAATCCTCTCTGAAATGGTTCCTGGATTCATGGCAAAGAACATTCAATCACTTTCATGTATATTCCTTCCGCCTTGTGACACCTTGTTTCTGAGTCGCAAGATCTTGTGTTAGATTTTGGGCGGGCTTAGTCTTCTGCTTTGTTGTTGTGGAGCACTGGAACACTGGCTTCTCTCATGAAGAATGTGCAGGGCTCGGCGGTGGTCGTGCAAACAAAGCCTCTGGAATATCTGAACCAGGTTCCTTCCTGAATCGCTTGTTGCCTTTAAATGGTAGGCTCTATAGTTGTTTTGAATCACATATCCTGCTTGCGGAATCGAGGCTTGTGGTTTCCCAATAAAGGGATTTGAGCGCTGCTCGAATACGGTTCCGGCATCGAGTTTGGTTCCCTGCCTGCAAATCGGCTTTCTCCTCCACTAAAAGCTTCATGCATTCCACCTGTCCTCTGCGAGCTGCCAAATGGAGTGGATTCTTTCCATCCGGCCCGAAGCGAGAAATATCCAGAACTAATTCTGAGGTTCTTAGAAGATCTCGCAAGACCTCGACTTCGCCGTAGGCCACCGCACTGTGGAGGTCTGCTCCGGGCTTTGTTCGGAATGCGTATGTTGCTAGCAGCAAGTAGTAGATCAAAACACTGGCTGCCCAGCAAATAGCCCATGACGTATGGAATGTAAGCACAAAGGAGATCATTCCAAAGTCTTCCGTTTGTCCCACAACTCTGATCTTCGCAGGACAGAAAACGCAAAAAAGAAGCACTCCAGCAAGCTCAATACTTCGCAGTGGCACGATGATCTCTGAGATCTGTCTGGCCTGAAGGCTCATCCCGGGAGCATCCACAAACTGCATAATGTTCACCATGAAGAGGGGCAGTCCAAGCACCACGCAGGCCTCCCTCACAGGATCTCGGCCACCCAGAATGATCAACAGTGCCACTCCGAAGATGTAGTCAGCCGCAACCAAAATATAGGCAATCCACCAGAACTGCAATGGACGCATAAACGTACAAAATGCCAGCATTGTCAGAAGCCTCATGGAGAATTCCGAAGCTCTGAATGCCAAATGTCTGGTAGTTGCCAACGGAGAGTGACTGACATCGAGCACGGTTTGAATGCAAGCTGATGTCCGGTGATCAATCTCCACAAGGGCCAAGCCCACATTGAGGATGCTGCAAAATGCACCTATGTAGAGGCAAGGGGTGTACCAGGCCTCTCTCAAAATCACAGGATTGAATTGTTTGTCAGCCCAATTGTCTTTCAGCAAAGCATACATGGAGACATAGGCAAACACGGAGCCCTCCAGCAAGCCATCCATAGCCTTGCTGTGGAATCGCGCTGGCATCATGGCTGGAACCTGCATCTCAGTAGCACTTGAGCTGCCAAGCAATCTTGCCCGTCGTCTCATGTAATCCTCGTGAGCCATGCACAGCTGCACCCCTTGCATGAGCCCCATGCAAACAACCATAATGAAGAAATTGATAAACGGTACGCAGCACCATCTTTGCCACTCCAAACGAGTGGAGGCTGAGCACGTGCAGAAGCAACCAATCACTAAATGCGCTAACAACAGCACATAGAAGTACCGTGGGTGGTCGACAAGGCAAACGATGAGCATCGTCAGGAGGTTTGTGACGTAATCTGTGATGTGAAGCAAGACGAACGAGAGGTACCGCAAGAGTTCCGTGCGCCAGCTTGCCGTTCTGGAGGAGAACAGCAGTAGGCCAAGAATGCACAACGTACTGAACAATGTCCCAACAATGCAAACACACCAAAAGCCGAGCTCCTCCGGCAGATCATGTGTAGACATTAACGGTGAAACTGATAGCCATTTGAAGCTGCCGGGGACACTGAGTCCCAGCATTGCGACGTTAATTGAGTTTCCAAGTGTCCAAAACAAAAAGGATAAACATTGTTGTATTTGTTTAAATGATGTTTCAATATGTTTCATGTATTTTGGAAGAACTTCATATTGACCACGATGTGTCTTCACTTGCATGCCCCAAGCATCTGCTGTTTGTAGCCTGATCGATTTTCCTTCTTCTGATCCCTGGATTGAAGTTGTGGTTCCTGCCTGCAGTCCCTTTTCAAACCTTCCTTAGAGCCTGGACAAACTGCAGGTGGGAGCAAACTGCATTGACATCAACAATCAAGTCGGTCCAATCAACTCTTGCGAACATCATAAACCACTGCACAATCTTGTGGAAGCATTGAAATATAGTCACAAAATGTCACAAGGTCAAGAAAGCAAACTGGGCCCCCAGCCGCGCCACGCTGGAGAACACTGCGGTCTGGCGGCGGCTTTGGTGCTCAGGGTTTCAATAAGGCAATCAACCACGCTGGGGGTCTGACCAGAACTGGTCAAATATGGCCTAGTTCCAAATATAATGTTCAGATATTCAGATATTATATATGTATATCAATATATACATTTTATATAGTAACTAGATAGTTGGAGCAAGACACACCAAAACTAAAGTAGTCGGTTGCATACAAGAAGTTGGCGCCACCAACGAACGAGCAGTTTCCTTTTACACACTACAGCAGCCTGTGTATATACTCATTTCAATGACAAAATCGGTACCCCCCTGTTGCACAAAGGCAGCAATCTTGTGACAGTCATTTATCGACGGTTTTAAAAGGGCATTTCAAACACAGCTGTGCAGAGTGAAAGCAAACTTGTCCGTGAGGAAGATGCTACTAGGGGCTCCTGGCCTTACTACTAGGAGCAAGGACGCTACTAGGGGCTCCTGGCATCGCTACTAGGAGCAAGGACGCTACTAGGAGCAGAGTGAAAGCAAACTTGTCCATGAGGAATCTGCACAAACTTGTCCAGTGGAATCCCTAGCAGCGTCCTTGCTCCTAGTAGCCATGCCAGGAGCTCCTAGTAGCTTCTTGTTCCTAGTAGCAAGGCCAGGAGCCCCTAGTAGAGCCAGGAGCCCCTAGTAGCATCCTTGCCCCACTGGAATCCTTCCTCTGAAAAAATAGCCAGGCGATCACCCTTCCAAAATCCCCCCATTATGATGTCACATTGCATAACACAAATCAATGTAGAATACATATGCAACAAAATACTTGCTCTCCTCCACAGGGCGGCTAGCATTCATGTAGTGCAGACTTGTTACAGGTCTGATCCTAAATAACTGGTGAGTTCAACCTTTGACTGCTGAACACTTGGCTTCCATCAATGAACAGAATAGACATCACAAAGGGGTATGGTTGGGCATTGAACTTAGAGCATTCCAGCAGCTTGCCAATCTGCTGACAGCTGCCGCACCCGGAGGTTGGTGGTGCCGGTAATGATTGCACAGTACCTGGTGGCACAAAGGCCTTCAAAACCTCTTCCCAATAGCAATGGCCTCCAACCTAACAGCAATGGCCTTCCCCAAATAGCGATGGCCTCCAACCTACTCAATTGTTTGAGACCTTCACTCAATACCTCTTCCAAACTTTGGTCGTGATTGCGAGAGAAGAGGTTGGAACCCGAGACATGTTTACCGTCTCAGAAAAAGAAACATCTCTCTCTCTCTCTCTCTCTTTTCGCTAAGCTTTTTCAGTTTTCCTCTTGATTCTTGACGCGACAAAGGCACACAGCAATGCACAGCAGCCACTCCGAGTGAAGCCTGGCTAGCACACTTGATGCAAAACATAAAGTTTGGGACATACAGTTCCAATAGTCATGCCATCTCAACATACTCAAACCAAACTGCACATTACCGCGTAACGATTCTGGGACCGCAAAATCGGGTTGAAACCTGAAACAAAAACTGCTGTGTGATGTTGTGTGTATTGGAGAGGTATGACTCGACGATCAAAACAATTTGGCACCTTTACAACAGCAGCACAAAGACAGCGCTACAAATAACCACAAATGGGTTTGCACTGTTTCAGCGTTGAAATCAGGCTTCCAAATCACTATATATATATAGCGTTCATCTCCACAATTCATCCAGGCCCCCCGCTTCTGCCACAGCACCAGGAACAGGAAAATGGGCAGCGGAAGCACCCCAATGATCACGATAGTTGCCTTCCAACTTCCAACAATCAACCAAGCTGTCCACACATCGTCCCACTTCTCAAAACCATCCCATAATACACATCTATTTGGCACTCACCACATGTTTGTTCATTAAACAACACGCAGATTGTGCCGACAAGTGAGGCGTACCATTGGCCAACCACATTTCCAGAAAACAAGGCCTGAATAAATCGGCAAAGTCACAACTACCGGCAGAACGAAACTCAAAAGCCCAAACCTGTGACGGCACGTATTCAGGCAGCCGGACAGGCACCAATGAGCCAACGTTGCAAAACACATCGTAGATCCAGGCAGGCCATTCCTTGTCCCTGGAAGGGGCGAACAGGCCAAACATGAAGCTAGTAGCAAATAGCTACTAGTAGCGATGGACTCCACCTAGTAGCGTCCTTGCTACCAGTATAAACTATTGACTGGTCTGATTAATCAAATGGATGTTTGTGGGCGAGAACACGACTCAGCCATGCTGCAATGCAGTTCGGCTACCCAGCTCTAATTTTTAAAAACGATTTCACTCTTGTCTCTTGTGAATGGCTCAAGATTTGGGGTGTCTACAGCTTTCTCGTTCCAAAGTGGTCTGCTGGAGGTTTACCAGGTTGTTGATAAACAGGAAACAGGTCCGGATCAAAGCTTGTCACACAATAAACGTGGGTACCCCACATGGTTTGTATTCGCCCTCTGACTCTCTCTGGACCTGAGGAAAAAGGAGTGATTGCGGAACGTGCTCGGTTGGGGGCTGTTTCACGGTGCTCGTCTGATCTTCTGTGGTCAACATTTTCCAAGATCGTACGAGCCGAGCCCTCAAGCGCGCCAGGCTCACGGCACTTTGACTTTGAGCATGGCTATCCGCTCAAAGGACTGCAGCCTCAGCCACCAAAGGAACGAAGACTTTATGGAAATCTTAGTGGCTTCCAAGTGAGGTCCAAGCATCAACTTTAGCGAACAAATCCAAACTCTCACGCACTGCCATCTCAAATTCCAATTAAAACCCTCAGAAAACTGCGTGTGGAAAACCCCTAAATGCAGTCTGCCCAGGCCTTGATGTAGAATTCCCGCCGCCTTACTTTTCACTAAAATTGGACCCAAAAAACTTTAAGACAATTGCGGTTTACATAAGTACCCTGGCCCCTGGCTCTTCTTGCTCCTCTAGAGCCACTAACTGCTCTGGCTCAGCTGGCGCGTTGGCCTTCCTCTCTGACCCCAATAGAACTTCAACCGGTGGTGTCTCTGTCTGACTGCCTGGTGTGCTGGGGCTGCCTTCACAGGCCTGTCGGAGCCTGCTTAGCTGAGGTGCTCTCTAGATCACTCTGTCTGGGTGGTTTTCTGACATCCTAAAACCTGTCCTACTTCCTACAACCCCCGAACTGGTTCCTAGATGGTTCCTAGCTGGATCCTATTATGGTGACACCCTAGATTCTTTGGTAGGGGGGCCATATTTCTCAATTGCAAAGATAGGCACACGCACACACGCACACACACACACTCGGGATATTCTCAAGTTCAAACATAGTATCCAGTAGTATCCAGCGTGTCTTGGGGGCCTCCATCCGACTCCACACGTCACTGGGCTTCCACTCATCGCACTGCCTTGGGTTTCCTGGCGCCAGCTTTTAAACAACTCGTTTGTTTTGGCACCCACAAAGGCCCGAACAAAGACAATTTTATATGAGCAATAAGACATTATATAAGTCAGTCCTTATCCAATTCAGGCAGCGTCTTTCACACTATCACCGCTCACCGCTGGTCGCCTCAGTGCGAAATGCCTTCTGTTTTTTTTGCCAGTGGTGAAAACACAACACCTTCCGTCTGAAAACAAATGTTTCGGGATGCATCCCCATCAAGTTGGAAAACCTTTTGTGTCCACTCTTGGATCTAGTATATGCATTCCCTCAACCTGTTTATCCTTGGATATGTTTCTTGTTCCATATGGTGGCCTTTTAAAGTACCAAAACTTGCAACATCGGCGCACAGGCGGTCAACAAAGCCGCCCGCACGCTCCGGAACAAGCACTTCACAATATCAATCGACGGTATCGCGACGAACTCTGAGTGAACACCGAGCCATGTTTTGCAACCAATGATAATGTTGTGCAATCGACAATTGTACAAAGCGGATGACAAGGTTGTGATATCGATTGATTACCAGACTGGGCTGCTCAGGTTGGTGACAGCATAATCAGACTATTGACTATTGGCTTTGCCGTGCCCTGCGCAGTCCTCGATCTCCAGCAGGGGCGTCGTCTTCCCGATTTCCATCTCCAGCCAGGGTGTCTTACGGAGCTCCATGTGGTCCACCGTGCCATGACCTGCCATCCGGCGCGGTTAAGGCCAAGCCGAAGAAAATAATAGAAAGTAACTTCAAAGGCTATGGAAATAGAACACACCAAAAGTGTTTGGCATCCTGAACAGCACCCAAGGCCAAAACCACAAGGGGTATTGAAAAGGCCCCGTGTCTTTTGCAATACCTTGAAATCATGTTATTGTTTTTTGCTTTTAACGTTTTCTCAGGTCTTACGGTCTTGGGCTCTTTGCACACAAGAACTGTCAAATTCGCAGTTTCCATGCATGTGAAAGCATCTTTGGTGGTCCTACTTCAGGATCCCAGCACTGCTTGCACCAAGCCATACACGGTCTTTGGTGGTAAAGCATGGCAGTAGCAAAGATCAGATATAAACAGCTAAACAAGACTACCCGCGCCGCGCACTTCTGCCCTTGAAACGGTCTAATGAAAACAGTCAATTGGGTATATACTTGCCCACCAGGGGTGTGTTTTGCCACATGTCCTTATCGTTTTCGTTATCGTTCCGGACATCTCTGCAGGTTGCCATTTTCGTGGTTCATGTACTGGCAAACTATGAAAACATCTGGTCACCCCTCGACCACACAAAATGGCTGCAGCATATGGACCAAACAGCCCAGATTTGAAAGCTAGGTTCTCACCTCTTGCTTCAGCAGGGGGGAGGATGTCAACTCTTCCATTAACATTACCTATCTATTGTTAATGGGACAGGTTGAAACCCATGAGATGTGCAGGTATAATCATTGTTATCGTTGCATTATTTAGGTCGTGTGGGGAAGGGATAGAGTGCAAAGGGATCCGATGGAAGTTTGAAGGGGCGTCAGCGCTAGGTGGACAGGGGTAGCGACGGAGGTAGAAAGAACACACATAGGAGCAGTGGTTTGGAAGTCTTGGTAGAGCATTTATGTAGCTGGATAGCTATTTAGCAAGAGAGTACACGGCGTTCAAGACTGACATTAGACACCCGTACGCGCGCGCTTTCCTGGTTTGGGTCGCGGAACTAGATGGGTTTAAGGCGTCACTTCAGCTTAGCTATCGGCTGGCTCCTGCAGGTGGATTTTGTAGCATTTGTAGACGATGCTTGATCAGTGTTTTAGGACGTGCACATGATAAAAACATCGTTACAGTGATTCCGCACTTGTTGAGTGAAAATAATTGAAAATGTAATTGCTTGCAACTTGCAACATGCCCAAAACTGCGCAAGTACCAATGGTTTTTGCAACAGAAATGTAAGAAACAATATAAAAGCCACGTGTTTGCTCCTAATGTAAAAACGTCGTGAATAATACCGTGGCTTTCAGCTTGCCGAGGTTCAAAAACATCAACATTTACTGTTTTGGGGTCCCTAATGCAAAAACCTGCTAAATGGTGCGTTTTGAGGCTCCCCCGGAAATAAGGGAAACAACAACAAGCACAACCATAACAGCGACAACAACAACAACAAGGTACAAACAAAAACTGCAGCCCCGTTACAAGATATCTTGTTCCTTTGTCTCTACAACGGGGTGGAAACAAAATCTGCAGCCCCGTCGTTGTTATTTTGACCCCCCCCGAAAACAACCAGCCAACATGTACTTTTACCAGTAGCGGTAGTGCTAGTACTAGTACTAGTAGTAGTAGTAGTAGTAGTAGTAGTGGTAGTCCGGTCAGCTCAGCCTCTATAAAACTTCTGCTTAGAACCTCTACCACATCCTAGAGACAAAAACTGCAGCCCCGTTGTTGTTTTTCTGGACCCCCCCCCCCTCAAAAGATGTTGTTGCCTCTACCCCCCTAGAAACAAAATATGCAGCCCCGTTGTTGTTTTTTTGACCCCCCCCTCCAGAACAACACCCCAAAAAACATCAAAAAACAAGAAACATACGAACCAAGGCTTGAGTACCACAACAACAAGAAGTCCAGCTACTAACATCTCTCCAAACCTTCGACCCTATCCCTAGTAGTGTCCCTTTGAAATCCCTGACTTGCAATATGTGACAACTATGTTGGGCAGCTGTTTTTGTCTCTACCAACAACAACAACAACAACCACAACCACAACAACAACAACCACAACATCCACAACAACCACAACCACCCTTATGGCATCGCCGGTGTGTGAAGCTTTACAAATAACAAAGAAACGGTACACAGTACAGAGATGTACAGAGTCAACAAGTGTCTTGACTGTACAGAGCCACCAGCACTTTAGTATCATCTTGACCATCTTCAGTTCTTACTCCAATACAACTTGCATGCGCCATAGCCCCCCTTCAAGGCTTATCTCTACAGGAATGTTCTAGACTCTAGACGTGGACTGTGTTGAGAGAACGATGTGTATATGAAAACACCAAATGCAAGCTACAGTTCCCATAAGCCATGTGAACCCTTCCGATTCTTCAACCTTTTGATCACCCACTGCCTCCCCTTCCATCAAAATCATTCAAAATCATCTCCGCCATCTCCCATCTCCATATCGGCCCCGGACTCTTGGCATTTTGCTTCATCGCAATGGCAAGGGGATTCGAGTAGGGTGTCGACGGCGCTTCCTGGGGCTAAAAGGCCACAAATTGGAGCGCATTCATACAATTGATGGTGTAGGACAATTCTAAGAACTGTATCAAATCCTCCAGCATGCTGCAACACATGCTCTTTAGGCCACCTTTTTTCTTGGAAATGTCAATGGTATGTGTGGTGAGTCGGTCAGAACGCCTAAAAAGCCTGGCAGCCCAAAAAGAGGAAGGAAGAAATTGCCATGGCATAGCTGAAAAGTATGCATTTCACACATTTGTCACAAAGGATCCTCGAAACGTAGTTCAAAGCGGTTCTTGCTCCACAAGGACAAGGTAGTCTGGAAGTGCATGCAATATAGGCAATAAAAGCTCCGCCACACCTGACCACCCTGTCCTTCTTCAAGGTGTGAGGCAACTGAATCCTGCCACCGCTCCGAAGAGGCTATTTAGTGGTTACTCTAGTCTAGGTTCCATCAAATCTCTCTGCCTCCCTCGCTATCAAAAGCTTTGTCTTGGCCTTTCCTACTTCTTGCACCCTCTTGCTACTAACAAAACGCAAAGCAAAACAAAAATAAAACAAGATAAGAAAGCTACTAACCATCTACCCCTTACAACTACCTACACCTCCATTTACCTACCTAGAAGAGCGCTGTAAAGATCACACCCTCCTCATGACCTGACTCACCCTTTGGAGAAGACGCGAAGAATCCACTAAAGAAGACTCAGCAGGGAGACCCGGCCCCACAGGGCGTCGATCAATGCAGCGAAGGGGAATGCCAACCAAGACCACATGGATGAACAGGCCTGGGCGTTCACTCTAGCAGCTTCAGAGATGAGTTAGCTACCCATTCTTGCTGATGGCAACGCTACAAACTCTGCACGGTTTTCCAATCTCACACAATCCTTTTACACGTTTTCCAAGCTAAACGCAGGATTTCGGAAGTCATCCTTAAGTAATGCCTGGGAACTTATATAAATCCCACTAGCAACTGAGTGTTTGTGTTTGTTGAACATTTGATGTCCTGGAGTTTTGATTGCCATGGTTGCACTCCCAAATACTGGAACTTGGCATGTCAAAAAGCGACGTCAGAATGCCGTGCTAACGATATAGTGAACGACGTGCCGCTTTGTTCCAGAAAGGACCCTGTCTATGCTATAATGGCTTGGACGATCTTGCGATTCCCATTATCATTACACATGTGGCGATAAGAGTTACAGTATATAAACAGCAAGGCAGCGCAAGATTTGCACTAGAGCTGACTCACGTCAAAGAATCTCCCAACAGGGCAAAACATGTAAGCGCAACGTTTGCAGTCGACTTCACCTCCAATGCTAGATTACCGATTCTTTGCCTTCTAACCAGGTCGGATTCGGGTCGTCAGAGGCAGCCCAAGGTGTTCCCCTGCTGCATCCTAGAAGTCTTTACAGTAACTCTCTGAGACACCCCGGCAAAAGAGCAGCTCCGCTGGGCTGGTGTTGAGCCCGTGCCCCTGAAATGTCACCTGGGCTCTTGTCGTGAAGAGATCAAGGGGACTACAAATGCGCTTGGGCCAAACTCTTTCATTGTTGTAGTCGTAGTGATGAAAATGAAACCCTAATCATTGGAGTTTGATATCAAACCATGTTCTTCATTTTGTATGTACCGATCGGTCAAAATGAAATTGCACATGCTGGATCTGAGCTTGAAAGGCATGGGCAATAATATTGGACATAAATGAGGTTTTGATACCTTTCACATGCTTTGACTCAAGGTCATCAACCGGCTCCTCCCTCAGGAGCTGGCCAGCAGTACCCGGATCGAGCTAGCCACCAAATACCCTGCAAAGCAGGGCACTGGTCTCTCACTAATAGACACAGAACATATTGAAACCACGGACCAAATACAACTGAGAAACTGAGCATCATCGGCAACCACAAGCTTTACGGAGATGGACTTCAAAAACCACAAAAGCCCTGCAAGCCAGAGCTGCGTGTCAAATCACAAGCAAACCTATCATGCATCGATCAGCTGTGGGACTTTTTGATTCCAAGATCTGTCGAGTGCCTGCATACGGTCAAATTCACATTTACACGTGTCCATTCTGAGAATGTATTCTACCCAAGGTAAGGCTCATTCAACAAACATTTTGGGTGGACCATTTAAAGAAATACAGTATAAAGGAAGGAAGAAAGTAAGGAGGTAGTAATGTAAACAGATTTAGAGAGTGAAGGAAGCGAATCGACGATCTGTCTAGCAGACTGAGCAGTAGAGCTCGGGTTCAAAACAGCTTCCATTGAAGTCACCCTAACATCCCTAGATCCCGGATCAAAAGGGTTCCTTGATTGGGAAATCAACAATGGTTCCGAAACCATTACAGTATTTGTTAATTTTTTCTCATCCAAGTTATCCAAATGTTGATTCTTTGATTCTTTCCATGCATGGAGGGTATCCAGTGAAGGTGAAACAAGCGCTGGATTGTATGAGCCTCAACTTGCCTAGTTCCGAGCTCAGATATGCAGCTGTACATGCATGGAGGTTTCAACGAAGTTTCAAGAACTGGGGGACAACCAATCATACAACAATCAACAACGAGTCTACCGTCAATTGCAATATGCTTGCTTGGTTGTGCATCCCGACAACCCTGCAAACATAGACAAACGAAAACTCGGCATATTGCTGGCAATAGCCTTCCTTACCCAGGTGGCGGCTGGACTCCACTGCGGGAACAGTGGCCAACTCCATCTGCATCTCCATGCTTTGACAAGAATCCATCAGCCATCGGTCGCTCAGTCCATCTGGTCACCCTCCTTTGCGCACGAGTTTGGTTTGATGAAAGGAACCTTTCTGGACAGTCCGTCCGAACACTGGTCGTTCAAGTAGAGCGAAGGAGTCGGGACAACTTGATCTCCGTTGAGGTGACTAGTTGGGATGTGCGGCTGCTATACCAGAGGCAAATTGAACCCCAAACAAAGAAGTCGACATTGGCAAACCACACAGAAGTTTGGCGCAAATTGAGTATCGTGCATATTCAAAGGAGAAGACCCTAAACTAGGTGCTGATCACTTTTGCGCAGACTGAGTGTGTGTATGTGTGTATATGATTGTATATACATATATACATACAATTTTTCCCAGCCATACCCTGCAATGAAGCAACGCCAAAAGGTCCTGGGCTGCTAATTATGTGACTGTATAAATTCATACTATAATAATCCCCTTCCAAAATATTGATTGATAAATATTGTCTCTATGAAATCAGGAACGTAGCCAAAATAGGCCTTACCCCTGACCCTAATTTTATAGAGAATACAGGCCACATAACAATGTTCGATATGTTTTGACCAAAGTTTTCCGTTTCTGTCCGACAACTCTCCGTTTATATACATCCGATGTTTCCGACATGCCAAAGAATTTCACAAGCACAAAAACCAAGTGCAGCACAAACATCAAATTGCAGAAGTCTCTCCAGTCTTCGCAGGTTCTGGAGCCTCAGGTTTGGGGGAAGCATGACAGAAGAAGAAAACGAAGAGGCAGCTTCTGGCTTCCAATAAAATAGTGAAGGTGAATCTAGAAAAACTCAGGTCCCTGACTTTATAGCTTTCTATATTCACCTTCACTATAAAATAGGAAACCAGAAGCTGCCTCTTCTTTTTTTTCGTCTGTCATGCTTCCCCAAAAAACCTGAGTTGCCATAAAATCAGGGACCTGAGTTTTTCAAGATTCACCTTCACTAAGCCAGAGGCTGCCTCTTCCTTTCTTTTCTTTTCTGTAACGCTTCCCCCACACCTGAGGCTCCAGAACCCGCGAAGACTGGAGAGGCTGCAGCAGATGATGACCGCTCTGCAGCTTCTTAGAGAAAATTCAGTTATATAGAGCCAGAAAAAAAGAAGAGAATAGACATGAATAGACTGACTAGAAAGGACAAGACAAGAGATTAATGATTAATAGGATATTGTAAGAGCACATGTAGTGCTATACAATCAGGGACCTGAGTGTTTCTAGATTCACCTTCACAATAAAATAGGAAGCCAGAAGCTACTGTGGTTGCTAAATGTGTGAGCTGGATCTACTTGCTCTCCGAACTTTTTGCAAAAAGTCAAAAAGTGGTCGACCCTTTGTTTCGACCGCGAAAAGTCGAAAAGTCGCGACAAAGCAACGATGATAACAGAGTCGCCCGCCAAAAGATCCCGAGGCTTGCCGGGTCCTTTTGGTGGGCGTCTCTTTTTTGAAGGTCATTGGCGCTGCGTGTTTTGACCTCCAGATCCTCTCTCAGGCGTTCCTGCTCAAGGCTGACTCACGTTGACACGGCTGGAGATGTCTGGAAAACAGCAACCTATACCTATATCTGTAGGAGCAAAAGCAACGTTTGGATCAATTCTGCTAGACTTTTGTTGAAGGGCACGGCATGCGACTGGTGTCCAAAAATTTCGATAGTCGAAAAGTCTCGAAAAGTCTCGAAAAATGAGAAAAGTCGAAAAGTCAACAAGTCTTGAAAAATGAGTGTTGAAAAGTCAAAAAGTTTCAAAAAGTCGATAAGTCTCGCTGCGTGCTTTCGTTTCCTTTACATTTTTGACTTTTTCGACTTTTCTCATTTCTCACTGTGTGACTTAATTTTATCAGTTTTTGACTTTTTGCGTTTTTGCTTGGTGTCTTGCAAATAGATCGTCGCTAAAGGATTTAGCAGAAGCTGCCTCTGTTACTTTTGTTCTTCTGCCATGCTTCCCCCAAAAAATGAGGCTGCAGAACCAGCGAAAACTGAAGAGGCTGCAGATGATGACCGTTCTGCAGCTTCTTGGATACACAGGGCAAGAAGAAAGGACAATTACAAGATAGAGGTGAATGTTTCCATTGCGAGAGGGATCAGCGTCTCCGCACCATCCGCACCACATGCTGCGATAGCTGCGCTTTGTAGCTTTGTCATATTCCAGTTTCTGGATGTTTGACGTCCAGTCATCTGTTCTCTATAAAATCAGGAATTCAATGGAATTCAGCTTCAGAATGACGTCTCTATAAAATTGAGTCTTTTGTTGTCTCTAAACTTGGGGCACCCACCCTCCTCGAATATGATCGACTTTACTCGTCCACACTCTCTATGAAATCAGGACTGACATGAGAAATTATTGAAAATTTACTTAAACAAAACTTAATTTTGATGTTTGTTAGGGTTCCTGATTTTAGAGCAAAACATGAACATGACAACCATTGTTCTCTAAAAATGCACCTGATTCTGGGCACCCAGGGTCCCCGATTTTCTAATGTTTATTCCGAAGGGGATCTATAATAATACATATTATGTCTCTTCCCAGACCCAAATGTACGGTACTCACACGGACTGGTTGCCAAATGCAGCTGAAAAACTGTGTTTTGGTTGCTTCACTGCTGGAACACATTGGTCCCTCTTTGTTCACTGCAACAACAATTCTGCAGAGATGAACAATCCTATCTTTGGGCGAACCATGTCTGCCACGGATGCCATCTTCAAACCGATTCGCAATTGCAAACTCCGGCGGGTGGTGACTCAAGACTTGATTTTTTGCACAAGCATCTTCTGGATCAAATGGACTGAGTGAGAACAAACCTGAGCTATCAAGAGAGGAAGGTGGGAACAACATGGAATTCATGGACTACACCGCCCACAGGTTCAATTCAAAGGATTTCACCTTCACTTACTTTTAGTTTTTCTTCTCACGTGCTCTCTCGATGTCGTAGACTGCCGCAAGGAAAGAAACCACTTCACTAGGCAGCAGATCGGGTCTGTGATTGTCCACCCACCACTTCCTCAGGCCGAAAATCGAAGCCGTGGCCATGCAACTAGGTGATATACAGCAAGGCCTTGCCGATCATGGCCAACAGCCCGACACACGGGTAGTGTTTGGTTGTGTCCTCACATCCACTGCTTGACTTTCCCCACCTGTCAGGTGAGGGTTGCCAGTGGATTTTTACAGATAGCCTTTTTCTCCTGCTTCTCCTTCTTCTCCTCCGCCCCGGACCTCAACATGGACACTACGGGACCTCAACCGCAAGCGCCAGATTGCAGCGGGCACTACTGGGCCTCAACCGCAAGTGCCAGAGAACCCCCCAACGGCAAACACAACACACAATACACAACCAACAAAACACAACCACAATACACAAACGCAACACACAACCGCAAACAGACAAACCACAAACAAAATAACACACACGCAGCCAACACAACACAACCGCAATACACATACACAAGCCACAACCAAAAACAAACGAATCAAAACACAATCACAAACACGCAGTCACAGCCACACAGCCACAAATACACAACCACAAACACAAAACATAACCACAAACACACAAACCACAAACACAAAACCGCAAACGCGCATTCACAAGCACACAGCCACAGCCACAAGCACAATCGCAACACATACAACCACAAACATGGAGCTTCCCAATCAATCTGAGGTGAGGACGTGCGAAACGCATGCTCAAGATACTTCGCCCTTCCTTTCGTCTCTCGGCCACGCAGAATCGAACTTTGCGCCTCAAATAAGGACCGTTGGCATCGGCAAAGAAGCCAGGGGCGAGCACGAATCTAAGAGTAGGCTCAAGCTGCAAATTGGCTTAAGCTTACAGTCTCTCAGGCAGATTGTGAGGAAGCAGGGCTGAGCAAAGGCAGGTGAATGACGAATGATCAACAACCGGGCAGCCATTCTCCGTCGGCAACTGCCACTTGTGAGAGGACAACACACTCAACACACATGCCACTTCTCGCAGAGTGGGACGACACCGCCAAATATCATCCCACGAAGCGTCAGGGCTGCCGAAACTGGAAGCAGCCCTGGACAGAATGGCGGCAGCAACTT